TCTCCAAAGTGAAAACCTAAATGAAGATCTGGGGAAGTGCTTGCCACAGAAGCATGAGGATCTGAGTTTGAACCCTAGCATCCATGTTGTAAAGCTTGGGTTGTGTGGGTGCCCTTGCTTGTAATCCGGACGTTGGGAAGATGCTAACTGGCCAGCCAACTAGCCTAATTGGTGAGTCCCATATCCCTGTAAGAGAAAAATCTATCTTAAAAAACAAGGTGGAGCTGGGAAGATGGCTCAGCAAGTAAAAGGAATCAATGTGCAATCATGAGGATCTGAGTTCAAATCCCTAGCACCCATGTAAATAGCCAAGTATTGCTGCACATGCTTGTAACCCAGCAGTGGGTTGGGGGTGGGGGTACAGGAGGATCACAGGAGTTTCCTGGCTACCAGACTATCAGTTAGAGACCATTCCTCAATGGAACAAGGCAGAGGATGATAAAGCACAATGGCTGCTCTCTTCTTCGGGCCTCTACATATATAAATCAGCCCCAGCTCCATCAAATTAAAATAAAAATACAAGGTGGGTGACTCCGGAGGAACAGCACCCAAGGTTGACCTCTGGTCCTGGCATGTTTGTGCATATATATACATACTTAAATACCTCTGTACATACACTGACAATCATACAAAACCTAAAGGAACAATATTACATTAGAGGATTTTTTAATGGTAAAAATTTTCTTCTTTCTCACATGGATTCAATCTTTCTAGTAATTTTGTTTTAGAAACTAATTACAGCCACTTTTTTTTTCCAATTTCTATCTTACCATTTCTGCCTGTCAGACATTCCTATGAGAAGCTGGTTTTCTCATTTAATTTTATTTATTTACTTATTGTTTATGTTTGCAGTGTTGGAAGTGGAACCCACAGCCATGTACATGCTAAGCAGCTCACTATCACTGGGCTCCACCCACAACCACGCATATGCTAAGCAGCTATCACTGGGCCCCACCCACAATCATGCATATGCTAAGCAGCTCACTATCACTGGGCTCCACCCACAATCATGCATATGCAAAGCAGCCCACTATCACTGGGCTCCACCCACAATCATGCATATGCTAAGTAGCCCACTATCACGGAGCTCCACCCACAACCACAAATATGTTAAGCTGCTCACTGTCACTGGGCTTCACCTCTGTCCACTCTCTTGTTTGAGGCTCAGTGGCTTCCATTCTCATCTAATTTGTGGACTGTGTGTCCTTTTTCTGCAATCCCTTGAGCCCATTTTGCCATACTCTACTGAGTGGTTAATGGCTTTTGCTTTGCTATTTATTGCTTCTAATTAACCGGTTGGATCGGAGCCTTCAGGTATTCATTTAGCCCTCGATTCAGAGAAGTTTAAACCACAGACTGGCTAGTTATACCATTCAGCCTCACCTCGGAGAATTACAGCATCAGTCTCTTTCTGCGGCCACCTGAACTGTCGCTTCTACTTACCAGGGTCACGTAATGCAGAGAGAATGTTGAGCAAGAAAAGTGGCAGACCGTAAAGTCCTACACGGGTGCTTTCACAGTAGCGCTCCGTCCCTTCAGGGCCTGCAGCTTTTAACTGCTTCATGCATCACTCTGAAGGTGATTTCATCTCAAGTGCCTTGATGAAAACCCTCACTCCTACCTGTTCAAGTCTGGTTCCTAGCGCTTGTCAACATGGGCCTTACACCTAGGCAGACCAGACACCTGGAAGGATGGGAGGAAACAGTAGTATCTAACTCACAGGATCACTGCGCAGATGAACATTAATGTAGGTAAAGTACCCTAGGAAACAGTATGGCACACAGTGGGGACTTAGGACAGGACAGTGAAGGCTGGGGAGATAACCCTATCAGTGAACTGTACACATATATGCATGAGCACTTGAGCTTTTTCCTAGAACTCATATGAAAAATCTGGACTTGTTGGTGATACATGTTTGTAATTCCAGTACAAGAGGAAACAGAGACAGACAGATTCCCTGAGCTCTCTGGGATGGATGAACTCCAGGCCAATGAGAGAAAGAGAAAAAAAATAAGGTGGGTAGTGCCTGAGTAACATTATCCAAGATTGTTTTATGGCCTCCACATACATGAATAAGAATACATGCACCTGCGTGCACACATGTAAGCACACACACACACATACATACACACACATGCATGCGTGCACATACTTGCATGTAGGAATAAATAAATAGAACTTTGAACATAGCTCCAATAAATGTTCATGGAAGACTACGTTTACAGAGGACCCAGAGGAAGAATCCGACATGTATTGGTGGCATTAAAGGACTTCCAGACTCATAGGGAGATAAGCTACATATTTACATACAGTGCCTGAATGACATGGGAAGGATACAGGCTGATGAAAAATGTCCTACACAAGCTTCTGTCCTTCTCTCTGCCTCTTACCCTGCTTTTTGTCACAAGAGAAAAAAAGAACCGATCTTGAAATCAGTGGTGAGCTGCTCATTGATTCGAATGTTTTGCAAATGGCCAGATCATTATGTTTTAAAGATAAGCAGCCATAAATGGGTGTTTCCTTTATCAGTCAAAGGGTAGGCAGCTACTACCATCCTCAGACTCATGATCCTTTATCCTGGGCAGCTGACAGCATGTGACAGGAACAGAAGGCTTCACTTAAGGTTCAAATCTAAGGCAACACTTCCTGTTGCTTTTCTTCCTCAAAGAATACCCAGAGTAGAGTAGTTACCCATAGTCCAATGTTTTATACCCTCCTGTTGTTTGCAACGTATATATGTTCTGGGCTGGAAACCTATTTCCCAGAGTGACTGCAAAATGTTCCTTGATAGCTACAGTCCACCTGATGTTGGCCTTCATAAAACCAGCTTATACAACCAGCAGTTCATTCTTTCTGTGTATGTAAATGAACACCAGAAAGTCTGGCTTGTTCTTTATTACTTAAATGAGAATATATGTGCTCACATGCTACCTTTAAGTCATTTGGAAGTATAGACTGGTTGTGTAAGGAAGAAATATGGACTACATGCTTTCAGAAAAATATGCTTAGGGATATTTATCCTTTCCCAGAGTGATAGATTCTGTTTAGCTTGTTGTTTTCCCCACCATTTGCTCCCTTTTCCCGGACTCAGGGGTGCCTGGCCTCCCTTGCAGCTAGGTCATTACTTAATTATGTTTGTAATAGGCCAAAGACTATGGAAAGAGATGATCTATGCAAGCAGCCAAAAAGATAATTACTTATCCTAAACTTTTCTTTTTTGTTTCCTAAGTTTGTGTGTGTGTGTGTGTGTGTGTGTGTGTGTGCACATGTCATGTGCATGTGTGGCTGTGGATGGACGTATGCCACACATGTGCATGTGGAGATCAGAGGACAACCCAGATGTCAGGTCTCTCCTTCCACCTGGAGATAGGGTCTCTTGTATGCTGCTGCATATCAGCTGGTCCACATGCTCTCAATGATTCTATTGTCTCCATTTCCCATTGCTCCATAGGAGCACTGGGATTACAGACACAGGAGCTACTGCACCTAGCTTTGCATGGGCTCTGATGCTCTGCACGCAGGTACCTCCGGTTTGTGTAGCAAGGGCTTTACTCCCTGAGCCATCTATCCAGCACCCTACCCTCAATCTTGAACAAAGACATACTAACCACCAATCTTCTATTACATAGACGAGGACAAGGTCTTAAAGGACAGTAGAGCAACAAGATGGAAGACATGTAGGTCCCTGAGTGACAACATGGAGTAGAGTTGCTTCTCCAGCCCTTGAACAGCCAGAGTCGAGGTCAATAAGTGTGTGTGTGTGGGGGGGGGGGGTTCAGTAGTGTCTATTTAATAAATATATTTCCCCAATCCATTCTCTTTACCTTCCTTAATATAATAATTATATTATTTTGAAGTGGATATAGTATGTCTTTTTTAGCTACAAGATTACACTTCCCCATCTCCTTTACAGCTATGTGTGACCACATGGCTAAGAAACTAAAATCATTCGATGGAACTTCTATCCAAGTAGCGTCCTTAATAAGTAGGCAGTCAGCATTTTCTCCCCACTTTGTCTTTCTCTCCATCTGGAATGTGAAGGTAATGAGTAGGGTTCAAGCAGCTACTTGGAGTCATTAAGTTACAAGCTAAGAATTACGAAGGAGCACAAGCTCCAGCCCCAGGGTCCCTAAGACTGGAGACTTCATGCCAGCTCTAGATTGTGGGTTTTTAGATTTCCTTACATGAGAGAGAAAATTCTATCTTATCAAAGATGTGTATAGCTGAACCTCATCCTAATTAAGAGCTATATCCACAAACAGATAACCTTATTTCAACCCCCAGCTTGATTCTGGGCTCCTCTTTGCCAAGCTTCCCGAAAGCTGCGGAAGTAAGAGACCAGTTTCCATTCCTTTTATCAGAATGGCTTTGCCTTTTGTACTCTTTGAAACAGCTCCTCAGGGAAGCTGGCGAAGAAACCCCAGTCTCTGGGCCCAGATGGTCCCAACAATGGTGGCTCACACTAGGAGACGACAAGTGTGGTGGCAGCAGCTGTGGGTTGGACTGGGGAGGGAGCTGTGACCCATCTCTGGCGCCTGGGCAATGAGACCAACAGAAAGATGGAGCGACAGTACCTGCAAATTTAGGTCAATCCAGACCGACCAGGAGGTAACTGGGCAACCGGTCTCTTTAAGTTGGGTTTTCTGCTTCCCGCCTGCTGCACTGGGCTCCAGAATCCTAGTCCAGATGGCGCTTCCTCCATGGCAGGAGGATGGAGGAGGCCAGACGCTGAGAACTAGGGGAGCATAAGCTTAGCACCTCCTATCCACAGCCTCACAGGACTTGAGTCTGAGTCTCCCGGCCCTAGTCTCCCCACGTGTAAAGAGGAGAGCAGGCGCTGACAGCTCCTCCAGACTTCCCTCCTACAGGCTGGGTCAGAGCGCCTCTCCCTACTCTAGTCTCAGTTGTGCACATCTGCCTCCACTGACATCTTTGCGGACCCCTCCTACACCCCTCAATCTCCTATCTCCAGGTCGCCCCTCATCCTCTGGTAGCCTCACCTTCCTCTGACAGGTAGCGCAGGTCGTAGAACTCGCCGGCGAAGGTGCCGTAGGAGGAGTCGTGGCGTGGCACTGCCTCGTCGGCGCCCGAGTCCCCTCGCGCGCGTCCCCGGGGTCCCCGGCCCCCCGGGCCCGCGCCGTCGTCCGCTGGGCTGGCATCGCAGACAGTGATCCCCGCCAACAGCAGCCGCAGGAGCAGTGGTACCCAGGCAGGGCGCCGCAGGGGTTGCCCCGCCATCGCTGCGCACGGATCCGGCAGCCAGGCCGCTCCGGCCGCAGCGGGGACCCCGCGGGCGCGGGCCGGGACCGAGCCGCCGCCAGCACGCGCCGCGCAGCCGCGGAGCGCCCGCACCCGCCGCCTCCCTGCCTCGCTCTGCGCATCCTCGCTCCAGCCCCGCAGCCTGCCCCCGTCCGCTCAGCATCACCCCCTCCTCGCCTGATGCTCCTTCCCCGTGTCCTTCTTCCAATTCTCCCCATCGCCCAGTCGCCTCCAGATTTGACTCTCCTGGTCCCTGGGTGCTTAGTGTGGCCCGCTGACCTACAGCATCAGCACCACCTAGGAGCTTGTCTTCAGGTCCCACTCTGGATACACAAAGCAGAATTTCCTCTCTGACTCAAATCCCCAGCATCCAGTTCCCACACCGTATTAGAATGACTGTCTCCAACATCTTGCTCCTGCAACTTTTTGTCCGGAGTAAAAATTTACTAAACTCCTAAATTTCTCTGGACCATCACGGAAGGAAGATGAAATCACAAAATCCCACTCTCTAGGTAGCCAAGCAGAGATCAGAGACAGTGAGGAAAGTGTAACTTAAGGCCTTGGCAAAAGCCACAAGTGCTGGAGCATAACCTGAACCTTTCAAACTAGGCAACTGGTTTACCCATTTTCCCCAGAAGCAAAGTGCATAGGCATTAAATGAGCCAACCAGGTCTGATACGCACGCCGATTCTCCACGTTTTCACATCGGTTTGTAACACTTACACGTTGCATTATTTACCTGGCCATTCATTTGCTCAATTAATATACACAGATCCCAGATTTGTCTTCAAATGACCCTTGTTGGGGGTGGTGACAATTAGTTGTCTTCTGCAAGAAATAGGGACACTAGCTCTTCCTCGATGCTGCTTCAGAACCTTGCATGTAAACCCCTCTTCTGGTTCTTTTAAAAATAAATTGCACAAAGTAAGGAAATTGCTACTGAGGCAGAAAAACAGATTTCAAATGCAGACCTGGAAGTCAACTGCCTGGGTTATCAGTAATGACCAGTGACCAATAATTCCTGGGATGCAGTGCATACTAAATAAGATCATGTAGGGAAAGGTTCATAGGGTTCAAGGTCACTGCTGTCATAACATGGCACAGAACTATGAAATACTGAGAACCCATCATTTCAACTGTTTGTCAGCCCAGTGGCTGGGAGACATGGGAGCTGCTATTGAAGGAGAGATGCCTTGGGGAATCCAGAGGCCAGCTGTTCATTATTGGGTATAGCTGACAGGTCAGCTTGTCCAATTAGAATTTAATTATGTTAATCCTGCCAGGGTCTCTCGCTGAACCTGAAGCTCACCTCAGCTCTGCAGGCTGGCCAATGAGCTTGGGATCCTCCTGTCTCCCCAGCACTGGTATTATAGACATGCTGTCGCATACTGCTTTTTATGTGGGCACTGGGATTTGAACTCAGATCCTCATGCTTGCACAGCCAGTACTTTACTATCTGAGTAACCTCCAGAACCCGGAGCTTGCTGGACCTGCCTATTCTAGTGAGTCCCTAGGATCCACCTTCCTCTGCTCTCCACCCCAACATTAGGGTAATAGAGAAATGCTGCCGTGTCAGGCTTTTACATAGGTGCCCCAGGGTCCAAACTTCACGTTCATGCAGCAGACACATCACCCACTAACCCATTTCCCGGACCCAGTTAGTCACTTTTAAATGGAGAAGCATTTAGTTTCATTTTTAAAAGACAGACAACCTTTATTTCTCTTCTCATCAAAATAATTTCTCAAAAGGACCCTTTTTTTTCTGTTATAAAACATCCCCAAATTAGCACTACCATTCAGTATCCAACCAGGAACAGATGTGCCCTGCCTCTGACCTCCTGGTGCATGTCATTTTTCACTTTGAATTTCATAAGATATAAAAGCTGTGATCTTGGAAGTCCCTCAGAAAGTTAAACATAGAGTTGTCATATGATCTGGCAATTCCAAGAGAACCCAAAACATATGTTCACACACAAAAACCTGTGCGTGAATGTTCATAAAATTATCGTTCATAATAGCCCCAAAGCAGGAGCAACCCAGATATCTGCCAATTGAATAAATAAACAAAACATGGTATCCATGGTATCCTCATCTTCTCCATTATTCAGTCACAAAGACAGAATGAAGTTCTGATACACAAGTAACATAGAGGAACCTTGAAAACACGGTTAAATGAGAGAAGCTGATCACGAAAGTCCACATACTATGTGACTCCAGATATATGAAGTCTCCAGAATAAGCAAATTCATAACCAGAAACTTACAGGCCAGGGTAGGGGGTGGTTGGGATTGCTGGGGGGAGGGGCAGAATCACGAGTCAGACTACATTTGCCCAGCATCATGGACACACTGAACGACACCGAGGTGCACACTTTAAAATCATTAAAATAATGGGTTTTATTCAAAGACTTTAAAGGTCTCTGGTCTTTGAAATGGTGGATGATAACAAAAGATATCAGAATCTTCCTGTGCTCTTTGGGAAATAAAATTCCAGATGCATCCTGGTGGGAATTTCTGAATGCTAAATGCTTCCCTTTTCACACCTAAAGATCTGTGCTGTCCCTAACCTGTCGACTCTATGGGCTGAAGGGTATCAGATCTCTGCAGTAACACATCGTGACTTTCCAACTAGGAGTCTGAGGCCAGGGTTTGGAGTCCCAGCTCTGTAATGATTATGTTAGCAGACTCTCCCCTCTCCTCTTGAATCTACAGTGGCTGCTGTATTACCTTCTAGTGCTGTTGTTTGGGTCTAAAGTAGACAAAGAAGGTAATGACTGCACAACCCCTTATAGTCACTGTGAGCTCTCTCGGGGCAGCTTCACCATCTCAGCAACACCATACATTTAAGTAGGCAAAAGGTAATGGCCCCTGAAGCAATATATTCCTCTGGACTTTCCTGGTTGGGGTGAACTGCCAGTGGTACTGGCTTTTCACATACAATAGCAACCAGCATGTTTGTGCTCAGGCTTGCAGTGATATCCACCCGTTGAGACTCTTGTAAACCCAAGGGAGAGGTGGGGGACAATGTAGGAGCTTGTAAGCCTCCTGAAAGCAGCAGCCAAATCCTCCATGCACCCCTCCTTAGAAACAAAGCAAGTCATACATGTGGGATATTACGTGTGTCCTGAATGCTCCGGAAACCTTCTGCTCTGTTCTGGGGGTCTCCACCTGAGAGCAAGGGGGAGGAGCACACACTGCAGAGAGCAGCTCAGAAGAGGAAGCAGCTGCTGGGTTGGCAGGAGATGACAACCCCCGTGTTCTATAGGAACATGGTTTGTGTCATAGAGGACAGCCAAAGCCATTTTGCTAGTACATCAAAGGGCTGTGTGGGTGAAAAGCACCCACCCAACGCTATACTCTCCCCAGACAGTTCCACGGAAACAGCAGGACAATAAAGAGCTATTGATGAGGAGAGGGTCATGGCCTACACAAAGTCACGGTAAGCCCTGTACGGGTCATTTGTGTGTGTGTGTGTGTGTGTGTACCATACCAAGGTACAGGAGGGGCTGATATGTGTACTGAAAACCAGGATTCATCAGGAAAGGACTGAAGACCCCCCAGGACACTCTGCACTAAGGCAGGGAAATGTGCCATACATTCTATAAGATTTCCCTCAAAAAATATTAAATTGTAGAGAGTCAGTCCTTAAAGGGTTACTCCTTGGTTATCCGAATACCTGTTTACATACCTCGGTTGCATCAATGCTAGTCAGTGAGGCAAGTTTTATAGTCATTAGTATCAAATTATTGGCACCATTCATTTGTAGGGGTAGGGAGAGCAAACTGCAATCCAACATAAAGATACAGTTCCGACACAAAGGTACGAGATCAGTTCCATGGAACAAGCAGTCATAAGAAGTGGATGTGGACGGTTTACATACAAGAGAACACAGCTCGTAACTTATCACACAGAAAAGTGTTCAGCCTTGCTAGCAGTTCATCAAATAAGACAGCTTCTCAAGAATAACTATACACATCTATTAAACTAGCAAAAAAATAAATTAGAATAGCAAAACCCAGTACTGGCAGAGCTATTGGTAAATAGAAATGCTTATACATTGCTGGTGGCATTATAAATTGTAGAGGGGATTCAAGCATTCAGAGGAGGGGAAGTTTAAATGAGATGACCTTTAAGGTCCTTCCAATCCAAAGACTGGATCTTTCTAGAAAGCAATCTGGCAATATAAAACAAGAGCTATAAAATACTTCATGCTCTCTGACCTTGTAATCCCTCTTTGGAGATATTCCGGAGGGAATAGTCCAAGAGAAGGATTATATATATATATTTATTTATTTATATATTTTTTTACAAAGACATTCATAGCAGCACTATTTATAAGTGTGAAAATTTGCATATAACTCAAATATCTGTTAATGGGGAGAAGTGAGGTTAACTGTGTCATGTGACTATAAAGACATATAAGTTAGTGAAAGTATCTGTCTAATAAGGAGATGAGTCAGGTAAAGAAATATAACAAAAGGAAAGTTGGCGCCAAGCACAGCTATGGAAAAACAGCATATGTGGGAGAAGCAAGAAGAACTTCAGAGCTAGCTGCAGGGAGGGGTTCCTTAATTCCCACAAAGTTATTCAAGTGCATAATAAAAATTTAAAAACACATTTCTTGAAACTATATAAAAAGGGAGTTAAGTTTCTTCTGGGCCAGATCCTGTCAACATAGAGTGGATGGAATTTAGAAATAATTTTTTAAGGAAAAGCCAAATGAGTCTTTCTGATACTGAATCATCTTGACCCTGTAAAGATTTTTTTAGACAATGTAAGTTAGATTTTCCTATATGGGTCTCAAAGATAAATTCCATTTATCTCAAGTTGTTTTGTATCCAACGAGTTCACACATTCAACTGTATTTCAGGTTAAGCCGAAGTATTTTCAGTTGTATAATATGTAACTTTTCCCCATTCATCTATTCATGTCCGAATAAAAATAAATAACTTTATAAGACCTGTGTATTATTCAGTGTAAATGGAAAACCAGCAGTAAAGAATTATTCTCTCATAAAATGACCCATTTAACAAACAGCCAAAGCTTGGTGCAAATGTCAATCATAAAAAAAAGTCACATCGTTGAGAGTGTAAGCGGAGGATTCTGTGCTGCGTTAGCCACTGGGGTTACTAACAGATACACACAGGTACCTCTGAATAGAAATCCCCTTTCTTCTGAAAACTTCCTACCAAACCCTGTCTCCACTGCACTGAGCAGTAGAAAAACCTCTCATGCTCAGGAGACGTAAAATAACTTTTCCAACGAAGTCAAGCCGGAAGCTGGCTTCCGCTAACCGTGGAGACCTGGGCGAACAGAGCACACATCTGTAGGTCGTGCCGCAGTGAGCACACCGAGCCCGAGGAAAGGAAGCGGACGAAGGCACCATGCCATCTCCAGGCAGCAAGGTTGGAGTGTCACAGTTCGGTCATCAGCAATCTTTTCATCATCTTCTCTCTTTCCAGTTCCTGCCGGAGCGTCTCTGCGCTGAGAAACAAGAGACAGAGCGGTAAGACAAAGCCTTGGTGTCCGCTGAGTAGACGGAACCTAAACATCATCTTGCAGACGCTAGATTTTCTTTCTTAGGCTCTATTGGGATGCAGTGCATTGACTAGCAATACAGTGAGACTAAACCGTCTGGCTCCTGAAGGGTTTCCCTCCCCACCCTGACGGGGCGTTCCTTGGACTCATTTGCTGTTGTTCATCTCTATCGTCTCATAGCTGGGTGTGGAGGTCTGCTCAGTGAATGTCTATTGAAAGACTGAGAAACTTTTTAAATTAAAAAAAAAATTAGTTTAGTCGGGCATGGTGGTACACGCCTTTATTTCTAGCATTTGAGAAGCAGAGACAAGAGGGTCTCTGTAAGTTTGAGACCAGCCCGGTCTATGTAGTGAGTTCCAGGACAGCCAAGGCTACATAGAGGGATCCTGTTTCAGTACATACGTACATACATACATAATACATATACTTTATTATTGTTGTTGTTGCTGCTGCTGTTATGCATGGTGTACAAGTATGAGCAAACTCATGCACATAGATGCATTTTGCCATTATACACATATGAAGGTCAAAGGTCAACTTTCAGGAACTGTTTCTCTCTTTCTACTGAAGAATAAAACTGAAGTTATCAGACTTTCTTGGCAAGTGATTCCATCCCTGGAGCCATCTGGTGGCCTGGGGCTGGGGGAGTGTTAGATTTCTTTCGACCGTGCTTTAAATTCACTTTATATTTTTTTTTCTAGAGTGTATGTTGGTTAATATCCAAAGTAATGTCTTAACAAAGAATGTGCTACGTTTAATAAATAAAATAAAGGGAAGGGGAAAGATGGAAGGGAAAAGGAGGTTGGGTGCATTAAAAACTGGCTGCTTTGGGGGGCTGCTTTTGACTTCTTGGTCCCCAGGTCTGCTGAATATTCTGTTGTAGTGGTTTTAACGAAAACATCCTCCATGAGCTCAAATACTGAACACTTAGTCTCCAGTTGGTGGCACTGTTTGAGGAGGTTTAGGAAGTGCAGGCTTGCTGGAGGAAATATGTCACTATTACTGGGGACAAGCTGGGTGAGACATATTCTCATCCTACTGCCAATTCACTCTCTCTGCTTTGTGCTCCCAATTAAAGACAAAGACATGCATTCTTGGTTTCCTTCTCCTGCTGCCATGACGTGTACCTTGCTGGTTGCTTGCTGGTGTGCCTTGCCCTGCCATGATGGACTCTTATTCTTCAGGAACCACAAGCCAAAATAAACTCTCTCTTCCTTAAGTTTCCTTTAGTTGTGGCATTTTGTTACAGCAATAGAAAAGTAACTAAGACAGTTACGAACTTTCCTTCCTTCCTTTCTTTCTCTCTCTTTCTCTCTTTCTTCTTTCTTTCTTTCTTTCCTTCTTCCTCACTTTCTTTCTTTTTAAAGGTTTATTTATTTTATGAGTACAGGTCACTGTCTTCAGACACACCAGAAGAGGGCATCAGCTCACATTACAGATGTGACTCACCATGATGTTGCTGGGAATTGAATTCAGGACCTTTGGAAGAGCAGTACATGGACTGACCTTGTTTCTACCAGTTAAATAAATACATATATCTGGGTAATTGTGTAAAGGTAGTGTGTGTGTGTGTGTGTGTGTGTGTGTGTACTTTGCTTGATTAGAACATATAGTCTCATGCCTCTTAGATAAATGTCCTGCAACTGAGATCTACCTCAGCCCTGGTGTGTGGTCTATTCATCTTCCTCTTCAAAATGATGAATACCTCCCCCTCTCTTCATCTGTCTTGCTCTCCCTTTTTAAGACAGGGTTGCCTAGGCTAGTCTTGAACTTGTGGCCCCTGGCAATTCTCCAAGCTCTAACTCCCAAGTTGTAGGAACTACAGGTGTATGCCACTGCAAGGAACCTGCGTGTGTGTGTGTGTGTGTGTGTGTGTGTGTGTGTGTGTGTACGTGTGTAATGATTTATTTTGATTTTTATTTTGTATGCATATGTTACATGTGTACAGATGTCCAAGGAGGTGAGAAAGGGGCACCAGGTCCCCTGGAGATGTAGTTAAAGGTGGTTGTGTGAGCTACCCAAAATGAGTACTGAGAACAGATCTCAGGTTCTCTGGAAAAACAGCAAGCCCTCTTAACTGTTGAGCCATTCCTCCAGCCAGAAAATAAAATGTACATTTTTAAAGGCATGGAGTAACTTTAATAATCTCATTCAGGAGGTAAGTCAGTTTTTACAATGAGCAACGTGTCCCCACACAGTCTGGGCTAAGGTGCAGCTTTGGTGGGTTGCTATAGTCATCCACCCTGTGCCTTACAGAGGGAAACCACAGATCAATCTTCTAGCCTCACTAGCACTTAGTTGTTTAAAGATTTAGCTTTGGAGGTCCCACAGCTGCACGATAGTTATCAGTGTCTTGCCACCTTGGCTGTGGATGATGGGTCTGACACATTGGTTATGGCGATGGTGGTAGACAAGGCTACCTTTCAAGGACAAGAGAACCTCTTTTGGGCTAGAAGTGGGGCTAAGGCTGGGAGTATAAAGTGTTTGTCCTGTAAGTACAGTGACCTGAGTCCCATCCCCAAATGAAAATGCCAGATGTGGCACACAGACAAGGGAGGGAGACAGAAAGATCCCTGAAGCTCATTGGCTACCCAGACACCTAATTATTAGTGAGTATCAGAGGCCAATGAGAGATTTTGTCTTAAAGAGGTACATGATGTTCTTGAGGATGAGCCCTGAAGTAGTCCACGGGCTCCACACATACTCCTGCACACACACAAATACATACATATATGAGCACACACAAACATACACACACACATGCATACACATGTGCATGTACACACATATAGACATAAATATATGAAAACACACACACACTTCTAAAAAGGTCTCTTGGTGGAAACCCTGACTTCACTTGGGCCTGAAGGCATCTATGGGGACTGACTGGATGATGGAAAGGCTGTCATGTCTTCTTTGCTGCCTTATCTTTGAGACCAGAGTTTGCTCAGCTTCTCACACTGATCATTTAAGAAGTGTTTTGTCCGGAACTACAATAGAGGGTTGACTTGTCCTAGATTTGCCTTGTCTCTCCCTGACTTTAAGGCTAAAAATACTTGCTTGCCCCCATGGCTGGAAATACAGATCACAAAAGGAGCACAGAAAAAGCTAGAAACGCCCTGCCTGTTCCCAGAAAAGACACGACTGTCTCTCCTGTTCATCCAGGTCTCTCCTGAGGATTCCTGTCCCATGTCACTAACTCCTCAGTTCTCCAGAGCCAAGAGGTTGCTTTGAGGCAGTTTCTCTATTTCTCCCTTCCCTCTTTTCTTGTCACTGTCTCGAGTCACTGGTCTCCCCAAGCTTTTCTCATGACTGCCCTGGCCCCCTGGACTTGCTAAATCATGCCGGACATGCCCAAGTGCAGAAGCTGGGACTTGAAAGTCCCTCTGCCAAGCCTATCTTCCACAACTATCTGCAACCTGCTTCCTGCCACCTTCAGGTGTCACTTCAGTAAGGTCATCCCAATCTTTCCTATTGCTTTTCACAGTCTCAATTTACTCCTTGCCCCTGACATTACACACACACACACACACACATACACACACACACACACACACACACACGCACACGCACGCACACGTTTTTCTGCTTCTCTAACCCTCATGCACAAAAGTACAACTCCAGTAGGGTAGGACTTTATCTGTCTGGTTCACTGCCCAACCCTAGCACCTAGAACACAGTGTACTCCTCAGAGACCTTTCCTTATAGGACAAATGAATGGATGGGGCTGGGAAGAAGGCTCGGTCAGTAAAATGCTTGCCATAAGGACTTGAGTTCAGGTCCCCAGCACTCGAGTAAAGCCTGGCTTGGTGGTGCATGTGTATCTGTCATCCCAGAGCTGGGGAAGTAGAAAGAAGCAGAGCCCTGGAGCTCACTGGCCAGCCTAACTGAATTCATGAACTCTAGTTTCAGTGCATTGAAACAATTTCAATAAGTTGATTAAAACTTATTCAAAAATAAGATAGAAAGCAGCTGATACCATGTGACGTCGATCTCTAGCTTCCATACGCACACATGTACATATGCATGTGCACTCTCACATATATGTGCACACATGAACATGTATATACAGTACATATATGTACATACACACATACACACACAGAGACAGGAAAAAAGAATGAACGAGGGCCTATAGAGTCACAGACAAGGTGAGCTAGAGTCTAGGTCTGGCTTCCTGTTACCAGGGTACCTGTTACTTATCTGACTCACCTGGCTGCCAGAGAGACGGGCTTCCGGGAGGTGTAGATGGTCTGTACTGTGGCTACAGTCTCTGTCAGTGGCCGCAGGGTCGCTGTTGGAATCAATGGGGAAGACTGGCCAGGACAGCACTGTAATTTGTTCTCTCTAAAGTCTGCCTGGAGAGAGAACAGAAACAAGAGATCTATCTCCAGGCCCATCTTCATGTGTCAGCTGCTCCCTGGGCCTCATTGAACTGTTCTTACTTACTTTAATAACAGCTGAAGTCATCACACGTTTCCAGATCACTTTAAATGATCTTACTCTGTGCCTGACACCATGCTAAGCACTTTCCACACGTTACCTCTTGACAACCTTTTAAGACAGAGATCATCTGCCACTGCATCTTAGAAGCCATCCTTTGGGAGATGTGTCATTTTGTGGGTACCACAGAAAAGGCAAGACATGGCACTCAGACATTGTCGTGCTGGTAGTAAACACTCTGATTTGGGGGCTGGAGAGATGGTTCAGTGGTTAAGAGCACTGACTGCTTTTGCAGAGGACCTGGGTTCAATCCCCAGCACCCATATGGTGACCCACAACCATCAGCTCCATTTTTCCAGGGGATCAGATGCCTTATGCTGGCCTCAGTGGGTTCTGCATGTATATGGTGCACAAAAACTCATGCAAGCACTCACATGAACATGAGAATAAATAAATAAACAAGCATTTTGCTTTCATGACATTAAAGTAGAACAGAATCTTAGAATTGCTTCTCTGGAAAGGAAAAATGAATCTTACAGAGTTTAAGTCAATGGTTCTCAACCTGTGTGGGTCACAACCCCTTTGAGGTCAACTAAGACCATCAGAACATTATGATTCATAACAATAGAAAATTACAGTTGTGAAGTAGCAACAAAAACAACTTTATGGTTGGGAGTCACCACAATATGAGGAACTGTATTAATGGGTCATAGCATTAGGAAGGTTGAGAACCACTGGTTTAAATTTTTCAGTTGAGGTTATCCAGTAAGTAATTATTTGTTAGTTTGTGTGTGTGTGTGTGTGTGTGTGTGTGGTGTGACATGGCACACATGTGGAAGTCAGAGGACAACTTACAGGAGTCAGTTCTCTTCTACCATGTGGGACCCAGGAATCAAATGAACTTAGGTCATTAGCTTGGTAACAAGGGCCTTTCTACATTGAACCATCTCAAAGACTGCAAGAAGTAATTAAAATCAGTACTCAGGGACTTCGAGGTAGTTCTGTTGGTAAAGTGCTTGCCACACAAGCATGTAGACCTGAGTTCTGATCCCTAGCACCCACATGAAAAGTCAGATACGGCTGCAAACATCTGTAATTCCAGCACTGGAAAGGCAGAGACAAGAGGACCCTTAGGACTTGTTCCAGTTTTAGGAAGAGACTCTGTCTCAAAAATATAATGTGGAGGGAGCTGAGATGGTGGCTTAGTGGTTCAGAGTATTTGCCGCTCTTCAGAGGACCTGAGTTCAGGTCCCAGCATCTGTATCACACAGCTCGAAATTCTAGGGCATCTTATGCCATCATCTGGCCTTTGAGGGCACTGCTACTCATGTCTCTACAAGCAACCAAATATGCATGGCATACATTCACACATTCATACATGCATATAAATAAAAATAAAATAAATCTTAAAAACAAAAGGTAGAAAGAGATTAAGGATACTTGATATTGATCTTTGGCCTTTACATACCTATACGCACACACATATAAGCATATTGGCGCACAACTGCACACATTCACATAAATACATAATACAGACAGAGATACACACATACACACACACACACACACACGCACTGTATTCAGAGAGTTTGTAGAACGCAACTAATGATCTTCTTCATCAATAAAACGCCACATGGATCCAGAATGCCGTCCCCAGACCAGCACTGTCATAGTTAGTTTGAAGCTTGGTTAAAAATGCTCAGGTTTTACTCAAGACCTTGGTAGCAGAGAGTCCAACATGGTAAGCTCTCACAAGGCTTCCAGATGCTTCTGATACACATCACAGTCAGAACTGCAGCACACTGCCTAGTTCACAGAGGGAAATCTCCTGCCCCTTACAAAGCAAAATATGCTTATTGCTTTTACATAGAATGCTCAGGAACAGAAGCAGCTGTTGGGGGGCTGAGAGTGGTGGAGGTTTGGACGACATAGTGAGACTCTCAATAAAACCAGAACCAAAATAAATAGTGAGAACAAAAGAATATAAATGAAGAAATTTTAAAATCCCTTATTGCTGTCATTCATCTATGCCAACAGTAGTTTTTCATGCATATCCTTAAGATTTTTATATCCTTAAAGATTTTTGATTATTTTATGTGCATGTATGCGTGTTTCACATGCATGTATGTATGTGTATTGTGTGCACACTGGTACCCAAGAGATCAGTGTTGGATCCTCTGGAACTGTAGTTACAGTTGGTTGTGAGCCACCATGTAGGTGGTAGGAACTAAACTCAGGTCTTTTGAAAGAACAGACCTATCTCTCCAGAGTGTTCAGAGCTATCTCTCCAGCCTCCTCTTTAAAAAAACAAAACAAAATAAAAAACAAACCTTTTTTTTTTGGTAATGCACACACACACACACACGCACGCACGCACACACGCACAACTTTTGTTAATGCTGATTCTTGACTCTGAATTTGGAGAAGTTTACCACCCAGATTTCTACAGAGGCTTTGATCTTTGATCTAAAGTGTGCATAATTCTCTTCTTGGTGGTGATACAGAGGATGAGCTGTCTTTAAAAGTCTTCTGCAGAGAAGCACGAACCCCTGTTTGTGTCTAATAACTGCCCCTGAAGGGGAGACAAGCTTGTTCAAAACAGAGAAATGCTGAAGGACTGCTGCTGGTCTCTGCCACATGTCATTTTGGAGATGCAACTCAGTTATGTCACATGTCTGGGAGCAGACATTCTTGTCTAGAGAGTGAGGCTTGCTACAGAGAATTGTGCAGGCAACAGTCACTGCTGCTGCACACAGGGCCACTCTGGCTCATCACCTTCCAGGCACATAGTAGGGCGAAACCTCACTGGCTTTCTCAAGCAGGAGGTGACCGTGTGCTTTGCTTTATCTAGTGAAATAAGAAGTGGTGCTTGTGTCCTTCCACTGATGGTTTAAGGACCTGGGGGTGGCTCGGTTCTTTTTCCCCCTCTGTCACTGTGACTGGTGATGCTCCACATGGCAGGCAGCTGGTCAATCAGCCTGGGCAACACAAAGCAGAGCCTTCAGTCTGCCTGTGATGGATGGGCTGCATGTGCAGGAAAGTAATTCCGTGTGTTGTTTAAAAGCCTGGCCTCCCTGATGTGGCAGCTGGCTAATAGGAGGTTGCATTGCTTCAGTGAGTGGGTGACAGGTGGGCTTCTGAGGCCACTTCTGAGGGCCATTTGCACCAACAGTGCAGAGGCACAGGTGGGTTAAAGCGCAGAGGTCCCAGGGCAAATACTGTATCCACACTCACGGTGTGCAACCCAAGGAGGGAGGGTAGGGGAACCGGTCATACTTAAGAAGGATCTTAAAGGAGCACTAAATTTTCCTATTAAGCCCTAACGTTTATCTTTTAAAATATCTGTTAAATGACAGAACGAATAAATACATTAGCTTTCAGTAGAATGAAACAGGAAACAGAAGAGCATATCAGGTTAGAAAGAAGAACTTGGGCCAGTTGCAGACCGGGGCCCTGTGTGTGATCCTGCTGGGAGCACAGAAGATGAGCTGCCTTTAAAAATCGAGACACGGTAACTTGAGGATATGAGTGTAGAAATCTAACACCATGGCCTAAGAGGCTTCTTGGTTGATATGGGCCAATGTTCTCTATGAGAATTCATTAAGAACACTCAGGGTCACATAGGGACCAGACTGATTACCAGTTCAACTTTGTACAGAGTCCACTAAGCTGTTGAAGGCCACACAGCTGTAGCCGGATGGGTCTGGAGGCCTGTAGGGTGCTTCTGTGTCTTATACGTAAAAGAAGTGGCCTCGAGGAGGGATGAGAAACAGAAAGCCTGGGGCCTCAGCTTTGGCTTCTGTTACCAACCAGCTCTCGATATCACCATCTTCCCTCTCAACTCTTTCTCAGCCCTGAGTTCCTCTGTAACAGCTGTTCCTTATTTCTGGCCAAGTCTTCCAAAGGTGGGCACACCATCATGCAGGTTTGTCCCTTCCCACAGGCCAAGCTTCCTCCTGGCACTCACTCTTACGGTTTCCACATAAAAGCGACACTGAATAGCTCCAGTGTTGAAGGTTTGGTCCAATATCCGGAGAGAAGTGGCTGGAGCCTGAGAGAAGGGACTAACCTGGTAACAAGCTCATAGCAGAGTGGGGTACTGGGGAGTGGGGGCTTGTTGGAGAAAGTGGGTCACTGGGGGTATTGCTTTGACAGGTATACCTTGTTCCCAGGGCCCTTCCTTGGCCACTTCCTGCTTCCTGGCTGTCACAAGAGCAACTTTCCTCTGCCTCGTCCTTGCCCTATTTGTCACAGCTTTGTACCAGGCCTAAAGGCAAAGGAGCCAACTGGCCATCTGCTGAGACCTCTGAGGCAGTGAGCCACAGTGGCTCTTTCCCTTTCGAAGTTGGTTTTCTGAGCACCTCTCTCACAGTGATGGGGATCTCAGGGAATGGACCCACTGTCTAAATTCTGGAAGGCAGAAATCTGGTAGCTCCCCGTCCCTCTCCTTTACCAATCTAGTATCTTCCCAGCCTCCTAAATATCTTCCCCAGATACATACTTCTCCCGCCTCTGCCATTAAAATCACTCAGGGGCCAGCTCTCTGACACTCTCTCTTAAGCTACTGTCCTAGATTTATTTCTAGACAATTGTTCTAAACTTGTTCCGTCTGGACTCAAATGCTCTCCCACTGTGGTCACAAAGATGCTTTCTAAAAACACCTGCCCTGCCCCTGCCCTGCGCTCACGGCTTCTGAAGGCTTCCCGTTGCTGCTGGGAAAGCACCAGGCATGGCTTTGCTCCTGCAGCATTGGGTCCTCTTCCTCCTCTCACACCCCAGGCTCCTGCTTCCTGTATTCCAGTTCTCTGGCCTTCTTTGCAGTCCCTTGAATGTGCTGTGGCCTGTCCCTCCCCAGGACTCTGGTTCACGCTGCTTCCTCTGTCTGCTCTGGCTACCTTTGAGTCACTCTTGCCCAGTTCTTAAAAGTCCCAGTGTGATTGCTGATATCGGCTTCCAGCTCCATCTGTGCCCCCAGCTCTCAGGAAGGGCTTCCCTGAGTGTGCCCCATCGCTGCCAAGGCTGGGCAGGAGGCCAGAGTGCCCCCATCATGGCCGGAAGGAAGGGAAGTAGTACAGAGGGAAGTAGAGAAGAGCTGCCAGCTGGGAGCTGTGTCCAGCAGAACTGCGGGGTGGGCTGGCTGTATAAGCTTCAGAACAATGGTACCCAAGGACATAGCACAGCTCTAGTAGCTCTGTCCTCTCAGTAAAGTGGCCTAGAATGAGCTCTTGACCCTAGGGGAAAATGAGGTGGTCTGACACCTTCTCATCTCTGCTCATCCTTTGAAACCAGAAGGAGCCTCTGCTCCATCAATCCTTGCCAAGGGCTGAAGCCTCCTTAGGCAGTGAGCACAGTTTAGTTCACTACTGTATTCAAGGATACCTCTGGCCCCTTGGGGATCTTCCAGAGAAGACAGAAACCCTTAAAAAAGGGTCTCATAAATTATGAATTCAGGGATTACAACTGACTCCTGGGAGAGGTGGGAAGGAGAGAAAGTAGGAGAACTGTACTGTAGTCCCACTGTGGCTATGTTTAGTGGCTCACTATAAGGTAGGATTCTGCAGAAACTTCCAGGGAAGAATGGTTAGGCAGCTAGAAAGAAGTATAGAAATAATCATTGCTGCCATCCTAGAGAGGGAGGAAAGATGACACTTAGAATGTTTACAAGAAGGGCTGCAGGGATAGCAGATAGCACAACCATCTGTAACTCCAGCTCTGGGGAAGCAATGCCTTCTTCTTACCTCTGTGCACACCAGACACACATGTGATGCATGTCTATACATGCAGGCAAAACACGCGTACACATAAAATAGAATACATATTTTAAAATGTTCAAATGCATTTAATCTATATGCTGTTTAAATAAGTTCCCTAGTGAAGACAGAGAGGTGACCATGAGGGGTCCATGGCTAGGACTTGGACAGGGTCCTCGTCTTTGTACCAATGTCTCTGGAGCCTGGAGAGTTGGCAGTCATCACAGATATTTTGGAGATATCTGTATTATGAAATTTTTGGATCTCAGTCTCTTTTGATACATGTTTCAAACCAGGATATTTCTTACTACTATTCCTAGGGAGAATAGTCTTAGTGGGTAAAGTGCTTCTTACACATGAGGGAGATGAAGACAGGGGGATCCCTGGGGCTTAGTGCCCAGCTAGCCCAGCTGAGCCAGTGAGCTCCAGGTCTGTGAGAGATCCTGCGTCAAGAACAAGGTGGATAGCACCAAAGGAATGATATCTAAGGTGTTTTCTGTCTGTCTGTCTGTCTGTCTCCCCCCCCAGCCTCTGTCTCTTTTTCTTGTCTCATGTGCACACAGGAACACAAACACATCATGCATACCTGTGCACATGCACACAAACACACACACACACACACGTAAAAGTAGATGGTCTGTGTAGTGAAGTGACTTATGTAAAGCCATATACCATTATCAAGATGCAGATCCAACACAAAACAACTTGAAACAGGTGATAAAACAAGAACATAGCACACATGAAAACACTATTTCCAATTGCCCAAAGTGGACACGGCCCAAGTCCCCATGAATAAACAGAGCACAGTAAAACCATACTTCATATGTATTCTACCATAAAAAGAAAGTGTAGATTCATGCGCCAAAGTGAATGGACCTGAAAACAAAATGCTAAGTGAAAAACGCCACTGGGCATCGGTGGCGTCAGTGGCACACACCTTTAGTCCCAGGACTTGGGAGGCAGAGGCAGAAGGATCTCTCAGTTTGAGGCCAGCCTGGTCTACAGAGTGTGTTTTAGGACAGTCAAGGATACACAGAGAACACCTGTCTAGAAAGGATGGAAAGACAGAAGGAAGGAAGGAAGGAAGGAAGGAAGGAAGGAAGGAAGGAAGGAAGGAGCTAGCACCAAAGGACTTATAAAGTAGGTTGTATTTATAGAAAATATCCAGAATCCAAGAATACACACACACAGCTCAGACTGGTGGCTGGCAGAGGCTGAAGCCAGGAAGAAAATACTAAGTAACTGCATATCGGGTGATACAAACATGTTGTGAAGTAAACCAGGTGCAAAGGTGCATGCCTGTAATTCCAGCAGTCTGAGATGCAAGACGCATACACCAAAGGCTAGCCTGGACCACAGAATAAGATCCTAAAAGTAGATATGAAACTAGGAGAACACAGAGGGTTGGGGGGATGGGGAGGGGTATGACAAAGGGGGCTGTTCTCAATGTATAATAAACTTGTATGAAACCTTTAAAAACTAAAATTTAATTTTTAAAAAGCCTAAATGATCTGGGGATAATGTATTTTCAGAGGATAAGGTATTTACCCTATAAATGTGGAGACTGGAACTCAGATCCACAGCACCCACAAAAAATCTGGACTCTCATGGTGGGCTGCCTGTAATTCTAACTCTGAAGGTGAAGACAGGCATCCCTGGGACAAGTTGGCTAGCTAGATTAGTCGAACTGGTGGGTCCTAGGTTTGGCAAGTTTTTGCCTCAGTGAATAAAGTGGAAAGGTATCAAGAAAGACCCCCACCATCAACCCATGGCCTCCATACAGATGAGCACACATGTGCGTCTGCACAATGTATACACAAACCACAAATACACCCACACTCCAGAAGGTAAGCCTAAGACTGGTATAATCTTTAAAACTACCCAGACATTCAGTGAATTTCATTAGTACTTAATACACTGGAGACCTAGTGGAAAGGAAAAATTGAAAATAGGGTTTTTTTTTCTCATAGAAAATACTACTGGAAGGAGACTCTCAGAGGCAGTCATTATTCAATAAATACAGTAAATGCTATTGCGTGGTCTTTTAATGTGGTTACCTTCCTGTGAATCTCAATAAAGTAAAACAGGCCTCAGTTCCAGGACATCCCGCCCTCACAGTCTCCTTGATGTAGAAGTAAAGGTTTACAATTTAGCTCTGCTGTCTGTGTCTACTTACAGTGAACTGTGGTCCTGAGGTAAAGGGATCAGGAAACGGGTTCATCACTGGTTCTGCTGGGAACGTTTTTATCTTCAAAAAAGAGAGAGAAATAAGGGGTTACCTTCAGATCAGAAGACATGTTTGAAGCCTTCGCTGGCACAGCTTTAGTACTGAGAGGAAGGATCCTGGGAAGTTTAGGAGGCTTCATCTCTCTGCAGTGGACGAGGAAGGCCTGTCTGTGCCGGAGTTACGTGGTGCAGCATGTTTGCCTTGCCTGGGACTCCACTTATGGGGTCTTGCAGGCAGGTGTCCAAAACCTGCCCAAAGGCTACATTCAAGGTAGGTAAGGAGGCAATCCTGGTGTACCTGGGGTGATTTCCGAGGTCTTCTCCATGGCTGTGGGAATGGCAAGAAGCATCTGAATAGTCTGCTGGGAACATAGTACATCTCAGCTGCTCAGGCCAACTAAATCAGAAGGCAGTCCCTGGCAAACGGTTTGCATTGTCCGGCCCCTGTACTCTTTGAGCAGCAAAGTCTTGGGGAGTGTCCATGGGAGCATGAGCAAGCCTGCCACTACGGTCTTTGAAAACAGAAAATAAGGTACTTGGAAGCATCCAGCGTGGCAAAAGAAGAACACTCACTTTAGTGAGGATGGCGTCCCAGACAGCAGGTAATCATGACTTCTATGTCTTTCTTTTTTCTCATTTTGGCTTTGGCTTCTTGGAAGCCTTGGAAAATGAGAGTGGTTCTTTATTTGAGGCAATATATACCTGGAGGGCCAGAGGCCTGTGACTGTGGCACTAGCTTTGCCTGTAGTCCCCAGGCCCAGAAACAGCTTGTATACCTGTGCAGGCACAGGTCATTGACAAGGCACAGAGGTCAGCCCTACCCAGGGACAGTGGTTTTGTGTCCTATAGGGTCTTGCCTGTGGACTGACTCTAGGACAGTCCCTTGGTACTTTCACACTGTTCTAATAAGGATGGAGGAACAGGGTCATGGCAGACCAGACCCAAATCAAGAGCGAGTTTCTGAATAGGCAGAGCAGCTGTCAGTCAATATGGGGATAACAATATCCTTGTAATGTACATGCTATGATGCTTACCCCAAACCCCACTTTCTTTTCAGTCAAATCTGCTCAAATAAACATCTCAAAATTCCCAGAATGAACCTTAAGCTCCCGAAGGGCCTTGGGCCAAAGCATCACAGTATATTTTCTTACTATTTGCCTGCCCTAACAGGTTGACATGGCATTCTAAGACAAATGTTATATCAAAAAGAAATCTGCAGATAAGTTCTCAGGCCAACCAGAGTAGACAGGAAGTGCTTTCTTGTGGCTATTAATGAAACAAGTTAGCAGTCTCAAATAACAGCCTTCCACTGTTTACATGTAAGTGACATTCCCGAGTACTCTAACACTTACTGATCCAGCAGAACACGTACTGTGTTCTGGTAACACATCCCAACTCTAGAGCCACAAAACCAAAGTCACCCTACGTGACTCAACAGGGTGTAGCCTAAGTAAAGGAAACTCCAGACACGAAAATGCTCCATGTTCCCTGAAATGGTGACAAACTGCAGGGGGCACACTTCCTAACCCGAGGGGCGGAGGCCCACGGTACACCTTTGCTTGATGGACTATGAATGGCCATGTAGGATGGGGCAATGAGGACAAGACAGAGACATCACAGCATTCCACAAAAGGAGGAGAGCAGGGGCATCATGGGATACCGGGACACAGCTTAACAGGTGAAACTGTGGATGAACAGGAACACGCAGAAGAAAACATGCAGAGATCAAAAAAATATGCCTGGTTACGGTTAAGATGGTTCCTTTTACACCATCAGGCAGCATTCCTTGTGGGTCATGATGTCAGTAAGTAGAAGACAGGGATGAGTTTAAAACTTTATTTGCCATGGGACAGACACTTAGGACCTCAGATGGTGACTACCAGGGCCTATATTCCCCTTTCTCATCAAAGCTCTCAAGAAAGCCAACGACTCTTGGTTTTTGAAAGGTATGGAGGAAGGGGTGGGAACAGGGGGTATGTCTTGGTTTGGCCAACCCTAGGTAGATCCCAAATTCCCCCATCCATCTTGGGGTGAGAGCACCTAATAGCAGGGCTGTCTGAAGGTCTGGCACCTCTGCATGCCCATCCAGCTGCTGCCTCACCTGGGGCTCCGGCCGCCTCACCTGTCCCAGCAGGCCCCCACCCTGCCAGGGTACCTACCAGCCTCGTTTTGATTGGAGGGTACATGCAAACTCCAGTGGTCTCTTCCTTCATGGGGAGAGAGAGTGGAGGAGAACAGCGAGAGTGTGCACAGTGGGGGCTGCTGGCGGGCTCTGCCTGCTCACGAGGAGAGGAGGAGAAACGGGGAGGAAAAGGTGATAAGACAGGAGGAGAGAGAGGAGAAGGGAGGGAAAGGAGAGAGAGACAGCACAGTGCAAGACGGATCTGGCGACCCAGACTACTCAAGCCAGCACCACCCATGGCTGCTTTTTAGATGCTGTTGGCCTCTGGAGTACTCACTGCCAGTCCCACTGATTACCCTCCTCTCTGTCTCTCTCTTCTCTAGTCTTCACCTTTCTTCTCTAATCCATGAGCAGAAGGACAAACCAAACCCCCTTCCCAAGGATAGCAGAGCCAAACTCTCTTCTTTGTACCAGAAGCATAGGACTGAGAACAGTGCCCAATCCCTACCCCACAAAGCATCCCCAGGGTTCTGAAGCATTGCCCAGGCCAAGTCACAAACAGCGCCATGAGTTAGCAATGTCAGGCATGGGACCACACACTTGAGAGCGTTTGCCTTCTGTGCCCAGTGCCTTCCCACCCTCAGCCAAGGAAGGGTACTGCCTATGGTGTGCCGGTGAGTGAGAGGACACCAAGAAAGAGTTACACCGCTAAGAAGCACAGAGGTCAGGATTTCATCCTTCTGGCTCTCTGCCTCTGGGTTCAGAACTCAGACAGAGCTGGTCCCACTTTCTTCACCCATGAGCCCAGGTTTAGATATCTCCTACTGGAGGTGGGGCGCCCTGCAGCTTAGCTGGAAGACACACCAAGCATTGCGGAGAAAGTGCCACACTTCTGGGATATCAGCACAGCCCCCACCCCTGGCCCTGGGGAGTGCCATGTGCCCAGCAAAGGTACAAAAGCTTGTTTAAGTGAGGATGAGGATGGCAAACAGGAGACATTCAGTGTTAGGAAGAGAGGGCTGCTGAAGGGTTAGTGTGGGCTTCAGGGAGGGACCACTCACTCCAGAGAACAAACACATGCATCTTTTAGCTCAGGAAACTTGGCAGCATCCTACAGTGAGAATTAAAATACAGCCTCTGGGTAGCTTTCACTAAAAAAGAATGATCAAGGAAATTACAGGCCTCCTTCCTTCTCCAAATCTTTCTGATTCCGTCCTCTGACAAGCTGAGCAGCTGCCAGGGAGCTTTCCCAGCCATAACCTCCCCAACACAGCTTTGCCTCACACTCACAGTGTTCCTGCAAAGTCCGCCTCCCAGGTTCCACCCCCTCTTCGTGGACTGTTTCTATGTCCTTTCTTCAAAGCTAAGTGAATCCCTATTAGTCACCTGCAGCTAAGGTTTACCAGCCTACTTAAAATCCTCCTCCTGTTCTCTTCGGTCCTCAGGAGAAATCCTACCTGCTTAAAAAGTTACATGATGATGCCTGCAGGACGTTGGCTGGCTTCATGACCCCAGGGTGTCCATGCTCCGGCTAGAACCAGCCACACTGGGGACACTCCACACATATCTCTGCACATAAGCCCCTGGACCTTTGCTCTTACTGATAGCAATGGGGAAGTCAACATGTGTTTCATGAAGGAAATAAAATCTGTCATAAATAACGGAGAAACATTGTATTACCAAATGGTGAGAACTTGGACAGATGCTGATTAGGAATGACTTAAGGCTTTGTGCAGCGCTGGGCTTTCATGGTAAGCGTTGACCACTGCTCCAACACTTCTGACCTTTCTAAACAGTCACCTGAGTAGGCGTAAGCAAAGGAATGTTCTCAGACTCCTACTAAACTGACTCTTAGTCAATGAGCAGGGAACAAGGTATTGATAACCATCTTATAGGATACTTTGGATATGCCATTGATTTCTGAGCTTTAAAATGGGATTCTTTGGGGGAAAGGAAAGATTCTTGGCATTGATAGATAATAGTGGAAATGTGGTGCGTGGGAGCGGTTCTCCTTCAGGCCTTCCAAAGGACAGTGCTAGTTTGAGGAGGGAAGAAAAAAGTGAGGTAGATAGAGAAGGAAAGACAGCCCAGAATGCTGAGCACCGGGGAGAGAGTGAGCTGGTTCTCATAGAATCTCAATGGAACATTCCTGAATGAATGCCAGAGCATCTGGTCTTTTCTCTTCAGTTTCCTTCTAGTGCTGGCCTGAGGATTATGAGTTATCATAGAAGTCTCAGCCAGAAGAAATGTGGGAACTAGGCAGAGGCTGTGACCTTGGGGGTGACTACAGGTGACTACACTTGCTGTTTGATAAGCATCAGCAGAGAATTTGAACATTCTTGTCTGGTAAAGTACAACCTTCCTCTTTTGAAGAAAGACCCAGAGAGAGCAATCAGAGGCTGAGAGTATAGATTTGGCAGCTGAGAATCCATGCCTACTTCAGGCTGAGTCTCTTAGATTGCAGACACAAGCTCCTCCATTCTCGTGTCTAATTAAGGCAGCTGGAGGACTCAATTTGGGTTAAGGCTTGAAGACCATCCCAGAGCTTCCTCCAAGGCTAGGCTCTGGAGGTAAGGTCCAGGGACCTGGCAAGCTTAAAGGAACAGGACCACTTAGGAAAAAAAGAGACACATCCTGACTCAGTTACCTGCCATAAGGCTTGGGTTCTAGCCTTAGACCTGATGCCAGCCTGCTGTGTGAGCTGCCATGAACAGATATCCCTGTGTAAGCCTTGCTTTCTAAGTCTGTAAGGGCAAAACAGGTCCCAAAGCCCCAGTCCTACTGACAGGCCAGATACAAGCCAGGCATGGGCTGTGTTTACATGGTAGCACCCCAACCTCAAGCTCAGGACACTGAAGTTGACACAGTTACTGATACAGTGGAACTTGGGAGCTGAGTCCACTCTTTTCCTGGGCTGTCTAATGGCAAAGTGAGGCAGACGCTGCTCTATAGGAATAGAAATAAAGGAAGACCAGGCAAAGGGAAAAGCAAACTGCCAAGTCCCCTTCCCTCCCTTGCACTCTTTGGCACTCATGGAAACAGGATTCACTTGCAACAAGAAAAGGTCAGAGCCTACGGTGCCAAGACACATTCTCTGCAGAGCCTGTGTATTTGTACTTGAACATCAGGTCATCCCAAGGACACACAGACACTGTGAACTTCCCTGAGTAGCCATCTCACTGCAGCCCAAGGACCTCAGCTCCATATATAATACAGCCTCCTGAATCCCAGTTCACAGTGAAGTCAGAGTTGTCCAGAGATGTAGAGAGGTATCCCACGAGAGGGGGTGACAGTCCCTGAAGGAGGAAGTCATTTGGCAGACCTCAAAGAGTTACCGCCACACGCTGTTTCCTTTCTAACCCAAGCCTGCAGTATCCAAGCCAAGATTGTCGATTCTACAAGTAACCAGGTCTATATGACCAAACACATGCTTTTGAGAGGAATCCTATTATTCTTGCATAAAGTCATGACATATTTTTAAAAATAAATTGACCATAGTTCTTAGATCTACCAGGCCCTTTAGTGAATTAATACTTTGTTCATGTTTGCTTGCTTTTGATATAGAATGGTGCAGGCCTTTTTAAAGTCAGGCTCTCACACTGTAGCCCAGGCCAGCCTGGTACTCATGGCAATCTTTCTTCCTCAGCCCCCCAAATACTTGGATTACTGCCTATGCTACTATGCTTAGAGAAGATTTTTTTTTTTTTACTTGTCAAACTTCCTTTCACACTGTAATATCCAGTGGCCCAAGACAGGAGATAAGCACTCACACAGATGCATGTGGTGTCCTCTGTAGCATACCTGGACAGCTTGGAAGTTGCCCATCAGTCTAACTCACAGGGATAGCTTTACCTGGCTTCTAATTCCTGCTAAGCATATTTCCCTTCACATGGTCCTCAGAACATAGCTGTCTCTGCTCTCTCTTTCACAGATTCTCAGGATGCTCCCTAAGAGTTCCCAGATCTCTCTGGCTGGCTGCCCTCCAGAACTGGATGTTCTCAGATGGATGCCAGGGGTTCCATCTTCCACAAGGTACTTCTAAACACGAAGCTTCAGTGAAGATATATCTGGCAACTCCTAACCTAGGCATGATACTTTCTGACTTTCTTCCACGATCCCTGTTCTCCTCTCCATCCTGGAAATTACTTCTTTTTAAAGTGGCAAATTCCCCCAAAGATGAGGCCAGATTTTTTCCAACACAGCACACAGAGCTCAGTTGTGTGTGTGTAACTGTATCTGTACAAAGGGCTGATGAGGCCTTGCTGAAAAGCTATCAGTATAGTAACTCTGTTGGACAGCCAGGAGAGAAAGGACTTTGGTCTTGGCAACCCATCTAACAAGAAGACTTGAGAGTAACCATGACACTTGCTCAATTGTGATGGTCCCCAAAGCAGGGTCTCCCCAGCAGCTCTCAGCTGTTCTTAGACTGGCTAGGCAAAAGAGATAGCTGCAGAAATGGCAAGTACTGTGTCAGTCCAGACTCTCTTGAAAGCCTCTGAAGAGTCCCTCCTCTAAAAGCTGATGCCCAATGACTCTCCCTCTGGCCTCTCCCTGGGCATCTCCTGTGCAGCCTACATGGTGCTTGGCCATTTATCAACCTGACTTTCTGGCCACCCTTGAGCTGCCCTCTAACCTGGAGCTATCCCATAACTAAATACAAAGCTCTCAGGAGATAGGTTCTGACTTGATTCATATCTTGCCTCATAGCCCAAATGGTGATTTATGTGTGCCTCAAGGTAGATCATGATTTACGCTCAAGTTTATTGAGATATGACTGAGCCTAGCCAAAAGTTATTTCCAAGTTTGCCTGTACCATCTAATAATACTTTACATATATTCATGTTGCCTTCTAGGCTCAATGTCTCTCTGTCTGTCTGTCTGTCTGTCTGTCTCTCTTTGTGTATGTGTGTGTGCATGTGTTTCCCTTCTTTCTTCTTCTCTTCCTCTGCTGATAACATTTCTAAGACAAACAATGACATCCTGACATCACGCTTTAGGGAAGACAGGATATAATCCAATGACAAGATTTTAAAATGGGGAGCAGAAAACGGAGGATGCAGCTCAGTTGGCAGATGCTTGCACAGTGTTCAGGAAGCCCTGGGTCCAATTCTCAGAGCACTGCATAAACTAGGCATGGTAGTACACTCCGGAACTAAGAAATTAGAGGTAGGAGGATCAGAAGTTTAAGGGCATCCCTGGCTACCTAGCAAGTTCAAACTCAGTCTGGGCTACTCAAGAACCTATCTCAAAACACAAAACACAAAATGGTTGTGTGTGTGTAAACAGTGGCCAGAGACTAAACTGAGAACTTGGCTGCCTGACTCCCTTAGTGCTCAGTCCTCTAAAAAGGGCTTCTCACCTGCAGGAGTCCCACGAGGGCCACTATCCCTAAGGGAAGACCTGTATGCAGAGGAAAGATGGTGGTAGAGGGCATAAGGGGTCTGGAAAGCCAGAGAAGAGCCGTGAGCCAGTGTTTCAGACCAGATGGATTGCCAGAAGCAACAGCAAGAGATGGGTGGGCATGCAGGGCACAGCCCGGGGAGCCAGGAAGCTGAGACCCAAGCATGATGAGCCCTGCTACGCTTGAGGAGCAGCAGACAGGCGCAGGCGGAACCCCTGCAGCCACCCTCTGAGGAGAAGGAGCACCCCTCCATCAAGGACCCCAAAGGGTGATGGAACCCTGCCATCTGAGCCTCCTTGAGAGCTTCCAGGACTAACGGAAGCCCTCCAACAGCAGTGCTCCCCTCTCCACCCTCTCCCTGCCAGACGCATCTGCGGTCTGTGGCTTTTCTGCTTTTAGAAAAATGAGAAGTTTACCAGAGGAGTGGCTTCTGTAAAGTCCATCAGCAAGTCACCTGGCCCCAGGGTAAAGGTGCCTCCATGGTCAGAGGGACTCTGAGAAGAGAGGAAGAAGGTCCCTGGTTAGTGATACCCAGAGCAGATGGCAGGGCTCACAAGGGAAGAGGGTACACTTCTCTACCACTGAACTGCTCAGTGTGAAACTCCCTCCTACCCCCACCCCCACCCCCACCCTGACATACTCCTCCCTCAGCAACATACAAAATAGGCAGGCTGAACCCCAACTTTCCCCTGAAATCTTCATGGATAGAAATAGGGTAAGGTGCAGGATCTGTCCTTTTTAAAGCTACAAACCATTCTTTTTTTTTTTTTTTTTTTTTTTGAACTGGTTCTGGGGAAATGCTTTAAAAAGTCTGTAGAATAAATAGAACAAAGAAGCCATCTCTCATGGGAGAGTCAGGAGACCTGAGGGAGCTAAGCTGACCTGCAGCATAACAATAGGAAAGAGGCTTAGAGGAGGGATGCTGGGACCTCTGAAGACTGGGCAAAACAATGGTCTGTCCTGTGCAAAGATGGCCACAAGAGGGAGCCCTGGAGCTTTGGGGAGGATTCTGTAGCACCCATTCCACACTCTTCTCTGTAATACCGCAGCCTGGTTTTTAACCATCTGTGGGATACATGAAAGGAGCCTACCTCCCACTTGACAAACTATAAGATGAGTCCCAATTCCAGGCAGTGAAGCTAGTATGGTGGCTCACGTCTATAATCCTACTACTTGGTCGGCTAAGGCAGATTTTCCACGAGTTCAAAGCCATCCTGAGTTACACAGTAAGTACCAGACCAGCCTGCTATGTGGCAAAACTCTACCTCAAACAAAAACAAAACTCAAAAAAAGAAATTCAGGATTCAATCTATAGAATGCTGGAGGGCCTTGGCCTGCTCCAGTCTATGCTGAGGGATCCAAACACATTCTTGGGTTATTTTAGATATATGAGGAAAGAATATCGGGAAAGATGGGCCACGTTCATGCAGGATATGGACCTAGACCATTGCTGTTTAGATGCTGCTAAGAATTGTGACCCTGGAAGCTGCACAAGTTTCAGAGATCCAGTGGCTCTCAGGAGCCCCAGTGAGGCTTCCTGTACAGATCTGAGCATTGATGCTGATCCCCTTCTTCAGGAGGAGGAGAAGTAAGGCTCAGAGAATATGGGTCTTGAAGAGACTGCCCTTTCAGAGCTATCACTGGTGTGTGACAGCAGGAGCTGGAATCCACTGGACTCCCGTCTTGCTGTCTGGGAAGCTGTTCCCTGTACACACCTTTCCTTGAGAAGCTGCATGGACTGCAGCCATCTTTGGCTCAGCATGTGCTTGGACAGGATCAGGTTCAATCATATTTGAACCAGCTGCCAAAGATTGGCCATTGACAGAGCCACATGGAGAAAAGCAAGAACGCTTCACGTAAAGGCTTCTGTTCTCACCATCCACGTTTGCAATTTCCTGAAATTTCATGCTGACAGAGTGATGTTCCCATTTTCAAACCATTAACACACCTTATCCAATATAAGGTATGGGAAGGGAACATGTCTATGTTTTTCAATTCTCCAAGTTGTCCAGTATAGAATGAGGCTGTGGACTACTGCTCTCCCCTTGGTTTTGTGAGATTTTAAGATGGTTTAAAACATTTTTAATCTTTAAAGTTATACTCATTTGTTGTGTGTACACACACATATATGTACATATGTCGCAGCGTGGGTGTGTGTGTCAGAGGACAACTCTGGGAGTCAGTTCTCTCCTTCCATCATGTAGGTCTTGGGGATCAAATTCAGGTCATCAGACTTGGTATCAAGCACCTTTAGTTACTAAGTGATCTTACTGGCTCATAAGATAGAATTCTGTTTGCTTGTTTGTTTGTTTGTTTTCAAGATAGGGTTTCACTATGTAGCCCTGGATGGATGTCCTGGAACTCATTAAGGAGACCAGGTTAGCCTTGAACTCACAGAGATCCACTTGCCTCTGCCTCCCAGACTGCTGAGGTTAAAGATGTATGCATCCATACCAGACTTTAAAGCCATCCAGGGAGACACAGTAATATAAAACAACACTACCATAAAGTATGCCTTAAGCATTTCCTAGAGCACAGCGCACACTGTTTTGTTCTATATCATAAAATATCTCTCATAAATGGTTGCCATATATTTTGGAATAAGGATGTGTGAAAAATATATTTTGCTACTTTTACTTTTAATTATCAACACTTTTTCCTTGGAACCAACCTTAATCTCATCAGTTTAAACTGGCTTTGCTTTTTTTTTAGAAGCAGGTCTCCTGCTAACCTTGAACTCACTACAAAGTGGAGTATGACCTTGAACTGCTGATCCTGCCTCTACCCCCTGAGTTGGAACTATGGGTGTATACTGGGAATCAAATACATGGTTTTAACTCTACCAACTGAGTTAAATCGTCATTCTGGTTTTACAGTTTCTAAATGCATGCTTGCAGCTGACCATGCAAAACATAAATGCTCAAGCTGAATGCTATTCAATAAGTGTGTATTATGCCTGGGGCTCTTTCCCATACCTTGGCCCCTGGGGACAGTGGGCTCTTGACTTCTGACTTCTGAGGCGAGCTGACTTTCTGGATTTTGGGGGACACCAGCGACACAGAAACTTGAGTGGCAGACATCGTGGTGTTTGTGGTTGTGGCTGTGGTGGCTCCCACTGCTTCAGCAAGGTCTGGAGGGAGGTCATCTTCATCACTGCGGTTACTAAAAGCACATGAAGCTCTGCTCATTACAATAATACACAGGATGTGAGGGGTTCCGGGAGGGAAGGCGAGGGGAGGCCAAAGCAGGATAGGGCTCTCCAAATTGGTGTCAAATCAATGTCCAGCATACAGGATCCAAGAATAAAACAAATTTGGGCTGGATTTTCTGCCACTTTTCTCTTTCTCTCTCTCTCTCTCTCTCTCTCTCTCTCTCTCTCTCTCTCTCTCTCTCTCTCTCTCTCTCTCTGTGTGTGTGTATTGTGGTGAACCACACATAACAATTTATTACTTTAACCACTTACAAATGAGTGATTCCATAGCATGACATCACTCACAGTTGTGTGGCCATCCCACTATGTATCCCCCAGTCTTGCATCAGTTGTAACAAAAACTGTTTGGTTACTGAGCAGTGATTCCCCATGGGCCCCTCCCATACCTCCCAGTAACCTTTAGTCCAATCTTGTCCCCGTCTCCAGGATCTTGCCTTTTCCTGAAGCCTCGAAGAAGCATGGAATGCTTTCAAAGTTCAACAGTGCTGTGATATGCATCAAAACGCCTTTTCCCCCCCTCACTTTGGGGAATACTCCATTGCATGGCCAATACTATACTTTCTTAGCTATGTCTCTGCTAGTGGGCACTTGGCTGGACACTCACATCACAGGACGTCACCGTTGGCATGGAAGGACGGACACTTCTGTGAGGCTGCAGAGATGAAGTTCATGAACCATCCCTCTAACCTTTATTTTATTTTTTCAGGCTTTTAAATTTGTCTTGTATTTATGTTATTTATGTGCATGCGTGTGTATACGCGTATTTATGTGCGTGCGTGTGTATACGCGTAT